CGCTGATCTCGTCCCGTAGGTGTTTGCCGTGTGAGGCTCCTGCGAGCGCGGACAGGGTGTGCGGTGCCTGCTGAGAATTGGTGCCCGAGTAACAGCCCGCCGGGTTGTTGGCAAAGCAGGCCCCAGGCGGTCACAAGCGAGGTGATCCTGGAATGCAGGTGTTGTACCTTCCAGGTCACCTTCCCTCCGCGGGGCAGCGGGGCAGGACGTGGGGGTGGCGGGTGCTGGATAGGTAAGGGGGGCTGTGCTGCTGAAATGGTATCTCAGGGGTGGTGGAGGCTCCGGACCTGCCACGAGGGAGGCTGAGGTCGATTCTCAGACACTGCAGCACCTCCTCGTATTCCCTTTGTGCTCCCACGCAGTTCCGTCCTCCACCTCTGCTGCTCTCGCTCCCTGCACACCTGTAACATTCTCGGTACGTGCACCTCTTTGAGAAAGACCGGCACAGGAAGATCTTTCCTTTTCCCACAGTGTTGACATCCAGGGAGTGATGAAGCAGCGCTTGCCGCCTAGTCAGTGAGATGAAGCCCAGTTCCTCTAAACACCTGCGTGATGGTGCCCATCAGCACTGGCAAAGATGTGATGCAGGGAAGAACTCAGCAGCTGCTGAATGATTGTGAATCGATTTTCACCATTTTTTGGTTAAAAAAAAAAAAAAAAAAAGGCAAAATAACCTTAGAGAGTCACTCCAATATCTATTCTTATCCTTTTTCGCTTTCTTTCTTTTCCTTATATATTTTCCTAAATTATGTCTTTACACTTTTATACTGTTATATTTCTACAGATAACCAAAATGGCTACATACCTCGTTTCCATTGTTTTAAAATAAACCTCACATATACACACACACACATATATATATATATATATAAACAACAGTCATTCAGTGTCATTTCCAACTAATCCTCCTCAGGGAATCTATTATTAACAACAACCTTGGTTATCCAGCCTCCACAGCTGGGTCATAACACACCTGCAAGGAGAGAGGGCTGAGAGTGACCCCTCAGCTGCTCAGCAAGAAGTCACCAACACTCATCTTAGAGGGGACCATGGGGACAAGTGGTCGCCTCACAGGACAGCGTGTACAAAAGCCCCTCTGCCCCTTCCCTCCCTGGCTGTCCCAGGGCTGTGCTTTGCCATCCTACCAGCCAAACACTCCCCTCTGGGCCCAGCACTGGTGGATTCACAGGAAGGGATGTGGACTTTGTGGTGGCAGAGCTGAACATCCCCTGGGTAACGCTGCTGGGGAAGTTGGTGCCATTTCTGGGCCTGCCAGGCCACCACAGCATCCCTGCTTCTCTCTGGGACAGCTCCATGGAAGGGAAGGGGTTTGGTGTCCCTGTGTCCCCAGCACTGACTCAGTGTCACAAGGGGCTGGACCTCAGCCTGCAGCAGCACCACATGGGCCTTCCCCGTGTCCCCACA